TTGCGAACCTGGCAAAGTGTCTAAGGTCGTCGATCCTAGGCAAAGGGTAGCTATCTTTCTTGGTTCAACTTGCTGTAATCCACACAAAATCTGGTAGATCCATTTTTTATTTAACAAGAACCACTGGCGAACACCAAAGACTATTCGATGGTTCGATAACTTTTCGCTCTTGCATGTCTTTGATTAAGTCCACCACTTCTCCTCTTTTTGCCAGTGGAATTCTTCTAAGCCGTTTCCGAATCGGATCAGCTCCTGCTTTGTTGATTATATGCTTCGCCGTTTGAATCCGTACCGCCGGCAAAGACGGACCACTTTCCCAGCAAAAGCTTTTCGGCATATTTCTTATGCTGCTCATCCAGATTGCTAATCCATCTTTTTATGAGAAATTCAGCCTCTGGGTACACCATTGGAAATGTTTTCGGAATTTCGACTTGATGATTTACTACATACTCGACTTTTTGGCATTGCGCTATAATGTCCCTTTTGCGAATTTTTGCTGTAACGCTGGTTGGGTTTAATAGCCGTACTGGTATTAAATTGTTGACCGGTGTTACAACCGCTTTTCCTATGATGATGTTGTCTTTCGTACATTTTTTACTCGGCTCGACAACCCATATCTTGTTTAGCCTTAGCTCCTCGGTAGCTGCGGCCCACACTATTGCCTCACAGTTTGGAGGCATCTTCTGTTGTCGTTGTACTACAACTTGTATCACTTCGGCTTGTCTGTCGTATCCTAAAGTCAACGGTAAAGTCACATTAGCGTCTTGTAACACTTGCCTTTTCATATCCAGTACGAAGACATGTTTTGCCACAAAATCCATCCCCAATATTACCTCGTCCATTATATCAGCCACCACAAATTCATATTTCATCGAAACATCGCTGATTGAAATTTTTCTCATAATTTTACCTTTAATAGCAGCTTCCTCACCAGTTGCCGTTCGGAATCGTGCTCCCCCTAACGGGTCAAATTTTTATTTGACGATTGTACTGTTGATGATTGAATGCGAAGCACCAGTGTCCAGCGTGATGATGCAGCTACAGCCCTGGATCTTCCCATCGATCGTTATGCTGCTATTACTTCTTTTTGCTTGAGTAATAACGAGCATAGGGCTACTAAATTTCTGAGTCAGCCGTTGCCCCGCTGTGCTGACTCTTTTTAGTTTAACGCTTGTTTGTTGGATATTTCGCTAGCACCATCACTAAAATTCCGTGTAGGTAACGTGGAATGTATTCTTTTGTGCTTTGGTCGACATTCCCGTGCAAAATGCCCAGGTTTTTGGCAGACAGAACAGCTGTGTGTTTTTGAACCCGACACTTGCTTATTTCCGCGCAGGACTTGTCGAAGCGCAGCGCAGACCACATCCAAATTATCGCTCTCGCTGGTAATTTCCGTGCGTCTCACTTTCATGCTTGACGTCCATAGCACACTACTTCTTGTGTAAGTGCGAAGCCAAGCGTTTCCGTAAGCGTTGTTTTAGGTGACGTCCCTATAGTTTTTTTAAGCTCCGCGTCACGAAGTCCTCTAACAAAGGCGTCGATTTTCAATCGTTCCAGCACGGCGTTGGGCACATCGATATAAGCGAGATTGGCCATACGTTCGATTTCGGTAGCGTAATCTTGGATCCTTTCGTTCAGTTTCTGGCAGCGCGAAGACAACTCTAGATGGCTTACCTCCTTCACATGTGTGCTACCATATTTCCTTTCCAATGCATCCATAATTTCCGCGAATTCCGTTCTTTTTCCTTCTGGGATTATCTGGATAATTTCCGCTGCTGCTCCTCTTAAGGAAGTTACTAAGGCGACTGCTTTATCGTCACCATCCCACATATTTTTTGTTGCAACAATACCAAATTGTAGCTTCAATGCGTTGAAGTTAGTGGTGCCGTCAAATAGGGGTGTTTTTACTTTGATAGAGCTGGCGGTTATGTCGTTAGTTTGTAGCTTAGCCACTTCTTTTTTTAAGGCTTTTATTTCCTTTTTGAAGGCGTCTGCATTCTCTTCCTGCGCATTTATTTTGGCATCCAATTGCCCATGTGTTTCGTTTATATGTGTTCGCAAGATGCGTTGATTTTCCTGTATTTTCTCGTCAATTTTTGATTCTATTTGTTCCGTTTGTTGTTGCATTTCTTGTTGCATTTGTTACGTTTGTTGTTGCATTTGTTGTTGGTTTTCCTGTATTTTCTCGTCAATTTTTGATTCTATCTGTTCCGTTTGTTGTTGCATTTGTTGTTGGGCTTGTTGTTGCATTTGTTGTAAAAACTGCATTATGTTTGAAAAACTTGCGCTATCTTCGCCTTTTCCTTCGCTCTGTTTTGCAGCTGCATTTTCTGTTCCTCCCAAGTTGTCGACTTGCTCCCTTCCCTCGATATTATATTCGAATTCAAGTATCGACGGGTCCTGTCCGTTCTTCTCTAGCTGTTCGACCAGTCTTTGTTTTAATTCAGCTTTGGGACCGATTGTGCGAAGGTTTTTTTTTCCAGCTCCTGTTTGAGCTGATCCACTTTGAGTTCTTCTAATTTCACCATTTCTCTCGGTTCACTTTTGACACCAATTGTTATGAAATTCGCTTTTCTAAGATACAGTCCGTATCACTGGATCGCGGATATTTTGTACAAGAGATATACACTTCAAAGTTCTTTTATTTACAATTATATTTCTTTAAATGTAAGATTATTTACAAATTATTTTTGGCAATACTTTCGACTGCTTAACGCAAATATTCTTTTTCTACTCTCCTGTCTTTTATAAATATTCTATTTTTATACATTTTTGCCATCGTATTACTAGCACCTAATTTTATGACTTGATTTTTAATTCGTTAACCTGCTTTTGTCGGTAATCGTTTTCATCGGTCTGCAGCTGCATGACGCGCCTGCGAATATGCACTTTGCTTCTACCTGTCTGCTTTTCCGCTAATCGTTTTCATCGGTCTGCAGCCACATGACGTCTTGCGAATGTAAATTTGGTTGTAGAAAATGACATTTGGGATTTCCGTAACAATACTATTACTTAGTCACTTTCGTCAAAAAATTTTGGAAATTGAAATTTTTTCCACATAACGACTTTTCCAAATAGGGTATTATATGAGGGTGTGCTTGAAAAAGTGGACCGATCCAAACCATTTTCAATAGCGTTCGTCCATCACAATATCTCAAAAATCACCACCTGCAGCGTGAACAAAAAAGTTCACGGGCAGACAAGCTTAGATCTATTCCGAAAATGAGTCCGAAGAATCGGTATAACAAAAGATTAGTCTATCTGAAGCGCTTCTGCTTGTTACATATGTATACAAATACCGCAAATAAATAAAAATTAAAAAAAAAAATATTAAAAAAGTATAACACCTAACAACTAAATTTTTTAAGAACTGATTAAATAATAATAAGTTTGCTCCAATTTAACTTTTTATAAGTCTGCTTGTTAAATTGTTTTTTTTTTTCAAGCTACGGAAATTGTATTTTAGTTAGAATTAACATACATATCCTTCACTTCAATTGAATAAAAACTATTAATTTATTTTTACTTGGAAAATTCTATAAAGTTACGATTATTTTTAAATATATAAGAACTGTTTTCTGTATTATGCATTTGTAATACATTTTGTTTTTGCATATTAAGCTTAATTGTACAAAAATTTGTAAGTCAATGGTTGTGTATTGTTATTTTTACCTTGTTTTCATTTTCCTTATTTTCTTATTTTTGTTTATAAAAATTATTATTATTGAATTAAACAAATAAATGTATAAAGAAAATAGTTGAAAAGGAGAGATTTTTTTATTAAAATTAATTATACCTTTCAATGAAATATTTTATTTCACTCTCGTCTATTCAACAATGTATACGTCTATAGCAAGAAGAGGAGAAAAACAAGAGAGAGAGAGAGAGAAAGAAAAAGACAGAAAAACAAGAAGACAAGACAGAGAACAAGTGAACGGAAATTCAAAACCTTGATAATTAAGACTAAATTTTATAGGGATATAGCTTTAGCTCTTAAGAGAACATAGCAGAAATACATTGCATGAACTTAAAAATTGATGTGATTCCAATGGCTTGGTGCATAATTATTAGACGTTCTTGAACATTATTTCTTATGAAAGAGCAAACATAAAAATTCAACAGTAAAATTTTCAAATGATTAACCCGGAGCGTAGTCATCATCTGCTTTTTGAGCGCTTTGACACGGCGAACGATGGTTGAATGGCCCACATCGTCCAGCATTCGAGTGGCCAAGCTTTCGTCCCTTTCCAAGGTTGCCAATAGTGCCTGGTCGTCGAAATCCGATGGCCGACCTCTTCCTGATCTTCCCCTGATTGTTCCCTTACTGAAAAGTTCGTGGAGATCGCGAAATGATTGCGATGCTTTCCATCCTATCTCAAGATAGCACAGCTTAATATTATGAATATGAGTGTGATCATCGGCACGCATTTCCATAACCTAAGAGTAGAAGAATATTTTCATTCATAAATTTATAATATTTTATAAATTTTTACTAAAATATAGCATGTCAAAGAAACACCTGATTATTATGCACCAAGCTATTGTTTATTTTCTCTCTATTATCCTAACGCACGTATAGCAACTCTGCTTAAAATTAATAGTAAACAGAACTATTGACACTGACTAGCACGTGTGAAATTCTAGAGAATTGCTGTATACTGTATGTGTGTTGATGTATATTGTATGTATACAGGGTCAACATTTATTTAAACAGAAATGAAAAGTAAACAAAAACGTTTCACAGAATCGTTCACTAGCGATTCCAGAAGAAAGTAATGAGAAAATTACATGTAATTTAAACATGATCGTCCAATTATTATAAAAAATATTTAGTACGAAGAAAAATTTCTAGGGTCTAGAAAACTTAGCTTCTATTATAGTTACGCTCAAATAAATACAAAAGAAAATAAAATACAAAAGTAATTTTTTATTAAGATAATAACAAATCACACAACAAAAACAAATCTGGAAATTATTTTTAAGTTACTTTGATTAACTATCTAGGCTTTTCGAGCATTCGAGGAATATGTTAAATATATGCTAACGACAACAGCCACAACAAAACAACCGCCAACCGTATACAATACCACTTTCTGACGCATTGCTCGCATCCACGTCGAATTTAGCGTTCTGGATGCTCGACCCAACTCAGCATTGGTTTCTCTTAGACGAGATCGAGAAGCTTATATGATTTATCTTTGATGGTGTAAATCACCGTCCGACTTCCACATATACGGTAAATAAACCGTCCCAGCTCCACAATAGCATTATCGTTACTGCGGTTAATTGTGTTTTACCGCTTCGGAGTTTTTAAACCGAAAACGAAAATTATACAATTTTGTAAGAATTTGCATAAGATTGAAAAAATATTTTATATTGGCATGCAACAGCTCCGCCATACTGTGTTTGTAGTTTGTAGTTATAAACTATCATCTCTTGCTTTTTTGTATTCGTTTTGCAGTCTTTTCAATTCAACTTGAGCACAATTCAGTTTACTAGTACGTACCAGACGTTACATAACCACAATCTCGAAAACCAGTAGCTTGCAGATAATTATGATTAATAATCTAGTATACAATGTAAAACTGATAAACTAGTAAAAATGGTAAAATGGCAAGTTAGCCTAAAATTAGACTGCCATAATTTTTATTGTCAAATTAAACAACGCCCTCGCTAAATTCCCTTAAAGGCACCAAATTTTATACGCTTACTCTAAAAGGCACCAATTTTATACAAATACTTTTCCCTGTTGAAAGGCAAAGCACAGAGCCGCTTATAATAAATAAAAAAATTACCAAAAATGGTTGAGTGCCCAACTAACAACTTTGGTTTTTGGTAATTTGAAGACACCAGCGCACTGGTTCTGATAATTTTGAGAGTCATTTGAGCGATGAATATATGGTGGAGGGAAAAATTAGACAATTTAAATTCATTCCAGTTTAAGTGACGGAGAGCAAGAAGAAAGTAATAAGAAGCTTACTGAAGGTGATGTTAACACCGAAGTACTTTGAACGCATTTATGGACCGAAAGTTTTAATAACATTTGCCGATAATCCCGTCACAAAGACTCGTAAGTTTGGCTTGAAATTGGTCCGTATTTTTCCTAATGCTTTGGTTGAAATGCGCAATCGATAGTCCGTTAAGAAAATGTGCAAATCAGCCATCCGGGAAGAGTATACGGATATTGTGATTATCAATGAAGACAGAAGAAAACCTAACGGTCTTCTAGTCATTCAAATTATCCAATGTGAAATTAACTACGGATATTAAAAGGGATCATAAGGAAATTACTAAGCATCGGCCCGAAGTAATACTTAATAATTTTACGACACGCTTAGACCTTACAATTGGTCGCATGTTGGGTGCTCTTTTTCATCATGATCCCGAGTTTAAGAGAAGATGAGTTGCGACTTTCCATAATCAGCGGGACTAAATTTTCTTTCGCCATATGAATTTAGGAAATACGGTAAACGCGCCAAACTAAGAGAACTCGGTCCACGTTTTAGATTAAAATTGCGCTGACTTCAGGAAGGTAAATTTGGCAACAAAACTGGTGACTATGTATGGATTATCACCAATAAGCGTCCCTCTATGGAGGCTTCAAGACGTCGGTTCCACTTGTAACTCCAACTCGTAAATAGCCTCTTATTAAAGTTAAGTTTACTGGAGCCACATATTGTGTTTTGGATACCTGAAAATTATTGTAGGAATAATATCGCCGTTACAGTTTTTTTAGGACGAGTGAAATAACTCCTGTTTTTTAGAGTATGATTAGCATCATGAGGGTAGATTTTCTTCAATTTTTCTGGTGACGTTCATTTTCGCTATTAGTATAGGTGTGTATGACGATCGCAGGAGCTCCGTTGCTAAAGATTTGCTTTTAATGTACAGGGAAGGGTTAAGAAAGTTTCTTCACATTTAAAGAAAAGGTGACATGAATGGAAAAAACGTGTCCTACCCCACAGGCGAATACTGGCCATGTTAGTTCTTCCTCTTCAACTTATTAATATTATTATTATTAGTTTATCCAGAGAATAAATTCTAAGACTAAATTCTTAAAGCGCTAGGCCTCCAAAGGCTATTAGCTTTATTTAAAACTCTTCCGCACTTGATATTTCAACCAACGACCATTGAGTTGCGTCAGGCGGATGCACTTCATAATGTATTAGTTTTCTATCGAAAATCATAATAAGTTATTGTTTCTTCATTTCTCTGCGTAAAATTACATAAAGTGTAAAGTATATAAATAAAACAAGCGGATCTATCCACAGAGTGAAATGTAGATACTTTACAGTTTTTTTCTTCTGTTAAAGCTTTTTAATGACTACCGTCTTTTGGTACCGAAGGATTCTCGTTATTGTTAGCATGTAACTTCACAGCATTAACGAAGCATAACCTTGACGACGTCAATTATTTATTTATAGTCAGGTTGCATTAGGTTGCAGGTTGCTCTGCAAATAATGAATTCGCATTTCAATTTTTTGCTTGCATTTGTAATGCGATTTGTATTTTGACCTAAGACGTATAAGGAAACGTGTAGATATGCGTTTTTTATCTTTAAATTAAGGCTTTGTGGAAAACATAGGTTGCTGAGCTGAGAGGGTCAGAGAAGCAAAAAAATCTCCAATCTCTCTCAAGACAATTCTCAAAAGTTTTGTTACACGATTTCTATAAGGGCGATATAGGAATGTACAGACGAAAAAATTTCATCTTATTCTGTTTATGGACAAAGTTACACGTTTATTATCAATCATGACGAAATTATAAAACGTAACATTATGTTTTGCTAAAACCAAAAATTGTGTTTTAAATAATTGAAAGTATTGTATGTTTATCGCGGATATTTTTCTTTATTACACACAAGCGGGAATAGTTCAAAGCTTTCTTTTCACTAAAATAAAGTTAGTCCCCCAAGATAACCCACATTTTTAACTGAAGTGAAGTTAGCCCACTGTAGCTAGCCCACATTTTAGCAAAGAAAAAATGGGGGCTATCTTCACTCCTGAGCAATCATGTTTTTATGGTCCGGGTCTTCGCTAAAATGTCTTTGCTGAGTTTATTGCGAAATAAATAACAATAGAGTAAAATAAGTATTAAAATTAAGTAATCTTAGCGAATGTGCTCATATAAAACGGCAACTCTGTTCAACCGCTGTGGTCATATTTCTCTCTTTGTGAAAAAATTTTTGCAATTTATTCTTCTATTTAATTTCTTTATTGCGTTATACGTTTTTAAAAGTTTTCAAACTTATTAAAATTTATTGAACTTTTAGTGTGTTTATTGCGAAAAGTGTTCATCGCGGATACCGTACGTGTTTTAAAAAAAAAATTAAAAACATCTGACACTTTATTCAGTATTTTCCCAAACCTTTTCAAGTGAGTGGTTATTTCACAAATAATAAACAATAGACAACAATAAGACATAATGGCCCCGGGGCCGCCAGATAAAAACTCGAATAGATTTTATCTATTAAGTGATACATCCCCCCAAAGAAAAAAAAGTAAAAATTCAGATTTTCCGGTGTTGCCAATTAGTGATATAACCCGTATTGATAAAAAATATATTGTTATTTCTTCAACCGATGCTAGAATAGCAATTTCCCAAATTAGCCCTTTTGCATTAAAAAAACTCTAGATAGCATTACAACATACATCGACTCCATCTCGATTCTACGCGATGAGAATTTACTGGCCCTCGCTGGGAACCCGCGCGCAACCGAAAAGCTCATAAAGGCCAAATCTTTAGCTAATCTATGTGCTATTTCAGCTAAACTACATGAGAAACTTAACTCGGTTCGAGGCGTAATTTATGCCCCTTGCTTAAA